ACAGGAGGGGGTTCACCCCAATTCTCCAAAACCAAGACCGCCGCTCCGAATCGAAAGAGGAGACAGACAAACTATATTCGGAAAGTCTTCCCGGAGAAAGAGAAGAACCTTGTATGTATACTACGATATACGTGCATACTCCAATGCAAGTGCTCAAGTGCCGTCTACAAGCCGCCACTAGCGCCTCTACGCCCACGCCCCCGGATCCGGTGTCGCGACACCGGCGAGGGGTGTTTTGTATGAGACAAGTGACATAAGTTTTGGCACCACCACATATGACTATGTGGCACTTTATCCTCTTTGACTCTTTTGGAAATTACATTGTTCCAAGTGCCTTATAAATGCTATTTAATTTTCCTCCTCTTCCAATGTGGGACTAAGCATTTATTGTCAATTAACTATAACACCCACTTTTCATTTTTGCAATTGTTTATAGTGTGGAATAATAGGAGGAATCCAAAGTTAACCTCCGGATATTTTCATCTATGTTCTCTCCTAAATCTGAGAGTTGACTTTAGTTAATTTTTTGTGCGTCCATATGTTAAATTCTTAATTTTTGAAACATTATTGATTTTTTTTTTTTGGATACATGTTTCAAATTTATTATACTTATAATTTAAGTATACAATTAATTCTATTATATTACATTTTTATTCCTTGTAATATAAATTTTTGTTAATAAATTTGTTACCAGTAAATTTAATAAAAAAATTACTTGTTACCACACCTCTATTGTTCAGTTTATTAAGGGATAGAAGTTGTCCATAATCTAGTTAAAGCAGCTTTCAATTATTGATAAAAGTATCATATTATATCGTACAATTTTTACTAATAAAATGTTATAAACTTTTCCTTTTCTCAAAAACAAAAAATTTAGGCTTAAAAGACCGTCAATTTTGTTATTGTTAGTTTTTGAAAGACTTTATTCTAAATTTTACTGTACCTCTAAATTTATTTTTTCTACCCTGCACTTCAGTTTCAAAAACATCACTAAATAGTCAACTATTTTTCTTTTAGCATGACACATGTAAAGGTGTTTTTGCTTTTTCGGTGTTGTAAAAGACAAAAGGACAAAAATTAAGAAACTGAATGTCATTTTCTGAATTTATGAGACTAAATTGATTTACGGCAAAATGATTGTTTATTATTTAAACTACATCAACCTCTAAGGAAAACAAAAATCAGCATCCACCTCTCAGCCACTTGGGTTGTACCGGCTAAACGGCAGATCGTAGATGAAAAAAAAAAAAAAAAAAAAAAAGAAATTGTTTATCTCACCGGAAAAATAGTCTATAAAAATTTTAAAATATTCATTTTTTAAAAATGCATTTTTCGATTTATCTTGAGTATTATCAAATTATGTCACACTTAAGTCTTCCTTAACATTATTTAATATTTTTTTAAATTTATTTTAGAGATACATCTTCGAAATTACTTTATGTGTATTTTATAAATTTTTCATTGAAACGATTTTTTTTTACATAAATAAATTTAGAGATGTATTTCCGTATTCACACCGGACAGATTTCGGATATGCATTTTCATATTCACACAAAGTAATTTTTAACTTTGTATTAGAGATGTACCGACGGAATTGACGATGTATTATAACTATACTATCATATTCAATTTTATAAAGTTAAACCATACACTTTCAAAATAATATGAAAATATATATATATATATATATATATATATATATATATATATATATATATATATATTCGGAGTACACAATGAAGTCAAAATAAAATACAATCGATAATAGTGTTTTAAATACAAATATTATATACTACTCTGTATTACAGATCCAGACCTCTATGTTCCTACGCTGCCTCTTGTACTGCAGTGTCTACCTAGTCATTGCATTTAGAGCGTCATTCACCTCAGAGTCATCCAGAAAAAGTCCTTTGTCTATACTCGTCTGCCCAAGCTCCTTGATACGGTGACATTTAAGCAACACATCAACATGATCTTCTCTAGCCTGCATGTTCCTCCTCTAATATCTTATGATGAGCGGTTTAGGTGGATCTCATGGAACATCTGCTGTCATATAAGAATGTGATACTCTGAAATACCATTGGATGTAGTTGTGTGTAGCAGTCCAGTCGTTATGAGCTATGGTACTCTGTGACTCATCCAATATCAAATGATTAAGGTAATCATCATACATGGCATTCATACCTCTATGTGTCATAGCAGGAGGAGCTGACTCAAAAGGGTCTCCAGGAATAAACTGCAAGTAGCTTAACTGTCGCATGACGCGCTCAAGTAAATGAGTATACACTGGACGTGTACCGCATGCTAACTATCCAGAGTATGTTGTAATTTCGTCTAAGGGACGCGGCTTACAATGATCGACGTACGTATGGAAATGTATATTCTCTGATAGCATACGGCCAAGGTACACTATGCATGGCTCTGTCGCATGATTTCCTCTGAGCGCGATAAATGCATAAGCGTACGGCATATCCTCAATGTAGGTCAGAGCACATGACCAACTGGATATGCATGGGAAGTGCTGGAGGATCAAGTATGAAAATGGTACATGTGAGTCATTAGTAATGGTGTTGCAAAAGTGTTATGAAAATGAGACATAAACAGTAAAAGATGCAGAAATATTACCATCAATAGTGTGATGTTTGTCATTTGTTTGGTATTCCACATACAACCTTTACCAACTTAGAGTACAGGTTGACCAAACAAGCAGCTCTTTGTTGTACTCATTGACCCGCTCCAAGTCAGCGAAGTATCTAAGGTAGACCACATATACATAAGTGACACTTTTGTCGACAAAAATGGACATGTCAACCAAATACAACAGGTAGGGTTTCAATATGTATGATCTATGTTGCGCAAGATGTGCATCATCACTAGTGACATGCTCTGCATCATACAGCTATTATGTATACAACCTCTCCAAAACTCGAAACCTAGAATGAGCCCCTTGGGTGACTTCTAACTCCTCCAAGGCATCCTCTAGGTCAACTACCAAATAGTCTATGATCAATATCATCTCTAATGAGTCATTTTTGTTAATCGTGTCATGGTCTAACAATTTCCCATGATCGAAAGATACAACATGAATGAGAAATTGTCTAGTGAGATAGACATCTTACCATGTGAAAGATTGAAAGATGAAGTCTTTGAGTGTTATCTCTCTACGAATGCGAATGAAATATCATGGTTAACCGTAACAGAATCGATCCTACACGAGTCTCTCAGTCCAGATAGTTGCATCACATCCTGAAATCACTGCTCATCAGGATGCGGAAGACTACTAGTTTTTCGGTCATGGCTGATACATTTTAAAGCATTACAGTCATGTAGAAAAATAAATCATCGTCAGAAACTTCAAAAGTTCTAACAAACGTGTTTTTCAAAGAATGTATACAATTGAATTTTACATCTCTATCCCAAACAAGTCTGGCAACATCGATCGGGTATAGAGGAAGCAGCGATAAGTCGGACGGACCTCCTCAAAACCCCTCGGGTGCCTTGAGTGCTTGTTATTCTACTGTGCCTCGGATGTCTGTGGTGCTTGTTGTGCCTGGGTAGGTGACACTTGTCTTCTACGAAAAGACGAATGTGGAGATGCATGAGCCCCAGAAATTGATGCATTTGCATTAACCGAGCTAGAAACAACAGGTGACTGCGAGGCTCAGACTTTTTCCCTCTGCACTAATGCATGTTATGCAACTTTGTCGTACCTCAATCTATCTTTCTTATCAGCTATAATGCTTGTAAACAAACCACACAAAGTATTACACAGACGAAACACAATAAAGTCAAGTCAAACAATACAAACTAATAAATTTTGGAGATGTATCTCCGAATTCTAGAAATTAAAACGTAAAATTCCAGAGATGCGCATCTGTAAAAGTTTGCAACTCAGGCCAACAATGACGAAAATGCAGTTCATTCTAATATCCAAAATAATGCATCAATCAAAAACTTACATATCAAAGACTTTTCTCATTTAAAACATATATAAACTAGTTATTTCACAACTTAATGTCCAATTTACACATTTTTGATGTTGTCTTAGAGTCAAATTCAAAAACGAATGTTACTATACTGCGTCTAAAAATGCATTTCTGAATCCTAAAAATAATTTTAGTTTTTAACGAGGGTGGAGAACAATTATGATTCCTTAAGCAATTCCAAAAAAAAAAAAAAAAAAAGTGGTATTAGTGACTCGGCCTCTTATATAATCCAACTCTTATGGATGCATCAAAAGTTGTGTTGTAATCCAAGTAATAATTCACAATCTCCCAGCATATGACTTGCTGAGCGTCTAAGCATGCCTAATTTTTTTTGATAAAAAAAGTTGATCCTAGGAGATATTAATATATCTTACAATGTTTCTCTTTAATTACTAATTCACTTGATCTAAGAAATAGATATCTTTACATTGTGTTCAAAATGTTTATTTTGTAATGCTATTCCATATTTAGGCCACAAGGGTTTAATAGTTAAACTTGATACATAAGGTTGCGTTAGGCCAACGTTAAGTGTTCTCAGTTGTATTGAGCCAATTTCTCGAGAACCAAACACTTACAAACAAGAAACTCAACTGAAAAATAAAAAATAAAAAGATGTTTTTGGGTACTGATTATGTTAGGATTATTAGTTTCACCAGTCGTTTGGAGACTTATCCAACCGAAAAATAAATGCAGAGTCGCTTAAAAACGAGACAGCTCCTTCTTCACTGTCAAATGTTGTGATAATCAAAAAGAAAATGTTGTAGAAACTATTGCATGACAAAAGATAATGAACATTTGACATAGACAATTATAAATGCATAGTTGCTGCAAACAACAGTACCTACAACAAAATTAGACTCATGCCAATGACCATTTCACAAGTTTGAATGATGGAACTATATCACACAGGAAATAAAACAATAAGAGTGGAGGGCAATGTAACAAAGCATTTACCCTCTATTGCTTGAAATAATCAACTGAAATAAAAACTTCTTGCACTTATATAATAGGAAATCAATAATCCTCTCCTTCCTCATCATCTTCAGCTCCCTCTGCACCAACCTCTTCGTAATCTTTCTCAAGGGCAGCCAGATCTTCACGGGCTTCCGAGAACTCTCCTTCTTCCATTCCCTCACCAACATACCAATGGACAAAGGCCCTCTTTGCATACATAAGATCAAACTTATGGTCAATGCGGGAGAAGACCTCTGCAACAGCAGTGTTGTTACTGATCATGCACACAGCTCTTTGCACCTTAGCAAGGTCGCCGCCTGGCACTACTGAAGGAGGCTGATAGTTGATGCCACATTTGAAACCAGTTGGGCACCTGCCACACATTATAACAACAACATTGTAGAAATTATCACAATAAGACCACTCACTCTTGATGAAAACAACACAAACCACAAAAAACTTGTGTAGTGTAGAAAGTGGCACCAGTTGATTACACAAACCAAATTCAGTTAGAGTAGCATGTTATGAATTATTGCTAATGGGATACTATTTTAATTGATTCAATTAATTTTTATTAGTTGGCTATAGATTTCCTTTTAGTTAATTTTTAGACTGTCTTCTTAATATGCTTCTATTGATATATTCTAATATAGCAAATCCATGGAGTGAAACAACAACGCATTATAATAAGATATAGAAAGAGTGGTTACCAATCAACAAACTGAACAGTCCTTTTGGTTTTGATTGTGCCAACAGCAGCATTGACATCCTTTGGAACAACATCTCCACGGTACATCAAACAACAGGCCATGTATTTTCCATGCCTTGGGTCACACTTGGCCATCATACTAGCAGGCTCAAACACAGCATTGGTAATCTCAGGCACAGAGAGCTGCTCATGGTATGCCTTAGCAGCAGAGATAACAGGGGCATATGACGAAAGCATGAAGTGGATACGAGGATAAGGCACAAGATTGGTCTGGAACTCAGTAATATCAACATTAATAGCACCATCAAACCTCAACGAGGTAGTGAGGGATGATATAATCTGTGATATCAACCTGTTCAAGTTGGTGTAAGTAGGCCTTTCAATATCAAGGGATCTCCTGCAAATGTCATAGATTGCCTCATTGTCCAAGAGCACAGCCACGTCAGTGTGCTCAAGGAGAGAATGTGTTGAGAGAACACTGTTGTATGGTTCAACAACAGCAGTTGAAACCTGGATCCAAAAACAACAACTCAACATCAACAAAAAAACAACACTATTTCTAATCAAGTAGAGCAAACTACACAGAGCAACCACATTTAACATTGAATCTATGAAATATCAAAATAAAAGATCCCGAATCTGAAGTTCAATAAAATTTATTTCCATGACAGATTTGGAATTGTAGCGTGTTAGATATTAGTATACCTGAGGGGAAGGGTAAATGGTGAAACCAAGTTTGGACTTCTTTCCATAATCAACAGAAAGACGCTCCAACAAGAGTGAACCCAAACCAGAACCGGTTCCACCACCAACAGCGTTGAAGACCAAAAATCCTTGAAGACCGGTACAGTTATCAGCCAACTTCCTGACACGATCTAAGCACAGATCTACGATTTCCTTGCCAACTAAACCACAAAAAAACAAAAAATAGTCAATAAAAATTACGAAACACAAATTAGGGTTAGGTTTGAAGGAATACAACGAACCGGTGTAATGTCCTCTGGCGAAATTGTTAGCAGCATCTTCCTTGCCGGAGATGAGTTGCTCCGGGTGAAAGAGTTGTCGGTAGGTACCAGACCTGACTTCATCGATGACGGTAGGTTCTAGATCTACAAAAACGGCACGAGGAACGTGCTTGCCGGAACCGGTTTCGCTGAAGAAAGTGTTGAATGCGTCGTGCGCAACTCCGACGGAGGTATCACTGTAATTAACCGAATCGATTCGATTCAGAATAAGAAATTAAAATAAATTTAGGTTAAAAAAGGAATGAAGGAAACGGACCTTGGCATCATGCCGTCGGGCTGAATGCCATGTTCGAGACAGTAAAGCTCCCAGCAGGAATTTCCGACTTGAATACCGGCTTGACCGATGTGAATGCTGATAATTTCTCTCATTTTTTTCTCGATCTGGATTTGAAAGTTTTGAAAGAAAGAAGAGGGAGAGGAAAAGGTGGTTATGTAGAGAGAGAGAGAGAGAGAGAGAGAGAGAGAGAGAGAGAGAGAGAGAGAGTTTCGTCGTGTGTTGTGACTCGCTAGTATTAGTAGGGAAGTGTTTAATGTGTCGAATCAATAATACTAGTGCACATGGTAGTGTAGCGTGGGATGGGGTGTAGGATAAGTCCTTATCAAAAGCGGGATTTGATAAAGATTTTGAATCCGGGCCTTCACCTCGCTGGACCCTTGGGTGACAGCCTAGCGTAGCATCTCTCTCTCCACAAATCATCACCGCTCAATTCCTGCCCCCACCATATATGGTATCTAACTCAAATTTAGTCTATTTTATCAAAAATATCTACTCATATATGAATGGTAATTGATTTTTCTTCTAGGTTAAAAATATATATATTGGAAGATAAATTAAATTCATAAAAAATTTATTTGAAAATAAATTACATGTTAGTTGAAATAGGTAAGATAGACAATTATTAGATAAGTGAGTTTTCTTCTATCGATAATAAGCTAAGCATATATGAACACATTTGAATATGAGTTAACTGAATATTTCTCAAATTTATCATGATCATCAAGAGATTAGACTTAGTGTGTGTTTGATATTTAGTTACATTGAATTAAATTACATCAAGAAAATCATACTAATGTAGAAGTTATCAAAAAAATTACCAGCCAAAGATTGTGTTTGGACCAATCATCATCTGTTGGCGTAAGTCCTAGAGACCAATATTTTTGGTACTTGTATCGAATTACTTATTATTAATAAAAGGCATTTTTTTATTATGGTTGTTTTTCCGAAATAATAAAGTCTCTAAAATAGCTAGTTGTTTAATAAAATATTAAGTGTGACTTAATCATGAGAATTCATTAAACATAAGGACATTATTCTTAAAGTATTTGTAGTCGAGCTTTAGTGTGAAGCGAGATAACCTTAAAGCATTAAGACTATTATGTAGATAGACTGATGATCACATCTCATAGATCATGGATAAGAAGTTATCGGATCTTAACAGAGGTATGAATATTAGGAGTAATATTTATACTAGATTGACCCGCTATAAGAGTACTACATAGATGTAGAGTTAAATACTTTATTGCTGATCTAACATTGTCCGTAACTTTATGACCATAAAAACATATGATGGATACCCCGCAAAGCATGCTAAGGAACATGAGTGACCTAGATAGAATTTGTCCATCCTGCATAACAGGATAAATGTCTAAGGGGCCAATATTGAACTGGACAAGAATGACACGGTATATGCCTTGTGTTCAATATAGACCTAAGTGCAAAAGGGTAATTGTACACACAAGTACTATCACAAAAGATTTTGTTATATCACATGACATTTTCGTGACTTGGGTAGCAGTGATGTGTTGCTAGATACCGCTCACTGTTTATTATATTAAATATATGATTTAATATAATTGTCAGCGTCACGAGAACCTATAGGGTCGCACACATAAGAACAGATTAATGAGAGATAGAATATATAAGGAATATTATAAGGTGAAGGATTTAAATGAATTTAATAGATACAAATTATAGCATATTGTTTAATCTAACAATAATCAAGAATAATTATAGCATATTGTTTAATCTAACATATTTTGCACGTCAATAGAATATATTTTTATTTAGATAATTTACATGAAAAAATATGATGGTCCTATGAAAGATTTACCATCTTTTGAGTGAGATCAAATTCATAACTCGCTCAAAACTCAAATGTTATAAGTATAATTACACACATTTGAGAAACATATTACGTTATACGCAGCGGAAAAATATGAGACTTTAATCAAATTTAATATTGAGGATATAGCATAAGACTAAAATATCCTCAATATAAGTCTTTATAAAATAATATTATATATTAAACAAATAATATTTGGTTCTGAAATCTATATAATTGACATGTTAAATTCTCCCACTTGATAGAGAATAATAGTTGAATTATTAATATTAGAATTTTAAAATATTTAAACAAATATCCAACTATTTTCTGTATCACACAATAATCATTCAGGTAACGTCACACCGATAGAGTATGTCAATCACTCACATAATACATAGAGTTAAAATCCATTTTAATAAAAAAAAATTATTGGATTTCATAAAGTAAATATATATTATTTTTTCTTAAATAATACTTTCAACAATATGAAATAAGAAATATAACAATGTATAAATATTATGTCATCAAAAATTCTAATATCGATAGGGTACTTGAACTATAATTTACATAATCATAAATCATAAGTGCATTAAACAAAACAAATTATACTAATAATAATATACCGATAGGGTATAATTATTATCAATATATATTTATTATAACTAAGATTAATTTAACAAAATTTGAATAATTGTACCACGATAGGTGAGTTACAATCATGCAAATTAAGATTAATTATATTTTATTCAAAATAGAAAAATTTATATAATTATATCCACGATAGGTAAAATTACAATTATACAAATTAATATTTATTACTTAATTTTCCATAATAAAAGTCATAAAATAATAAGATTTCAATATATATATATATATATATATATATATATATATATATATATATATATATATATATATATATATATATATATATATATATATATATATATATATATATATATATATATAATTGCATAATTTTAATTTCAAAAGGAAGTGAATAATATTTTAAGAAATTCCTCATTGTATGCAATTATTATATAATAGTCACGAGAGATTCAAAAATTAATAAATAATCAAATACAACTAACCTCGAAGAGAATGTGACATTTATCCTTGTGAGTAGAGGTATTAAACTTTAATGACTTTTAGAATATTATAGTATCATCTCAAAATGATTCATAAACAAAGAATAAATCGTTATATCAAAATATAAAACTCTATTTATAAATAATCATAATTCAAGGATAATACAATTTAATTTTATTAAAGAATATCTCAAAATTATTATATATGAAAATTTTAAATATATTTAAAATTTGAATTAAATCAATTATTTTATAACATATTATATTTAAATATTAAAATATACCAAAACATCAAAATAAATAGAATATCTAATACTATTTATTTGGCATCAACTTAGGAGAGAGTTGTTGAAGCTTATATAGAAACAAGATTATAAGCCAATATCATATTCACTAACATAAAAGAACATAAAAAAGAATTTTATATTAAAATCAAAAACAATTCTTTACGTCTTTATTAATTAATTAATTATTAAAATTAATATAAATATAGTATCATGTCAGTATAAATTTATCCATCAAAGTGATTAATTTCTTTTATCACATTATAATACGTTTTAAAACTTCCCAAAAATCATGCTATGTATTGGCACATACTTTTGAAAATGCACGTTCAATTTGTACGCCATCATTCAATTGAATGAAAAACTATAGGGCTGACAATGAACCGAACCAACTCGAAAATAGTTCGGAATTCGATTCGACAATTAAATCATTGAACTAGGTTCATGAACCAAATGAGTTGAGTATGAGCGAAAAACTAAGTTCCTTAACTAAATGAGTTGAACTTGAACTATACATAGTTTGACTCGTTAGGTTCATGAGTCAACTCGATTACATATGAGAAGAATTATACTGTCTTTAAGATTAGGTTTAAATATTTACTTTAAATCTTAGACAAATTTAATCTTCAATTTAGTATTTTTTGAATTAGACTCTCAAATGTATCTCTTGAAAGTTGTGTAGGTTTTGAATTAGTAGATTTCGAAGATAAAGTTAAATTTCAATATGATAACTTTTATTTTATTTTAATATTTTAATTTTAAAAAATATATTTATTTAAAATGTCAAATATACTGAAAAATATATATATTTAAAAAATAGTTTTTAAGTCCGTGAATCATGTGAGCTGAACCTAATGAGATGAACCTAATGAGTTGAACCGAACTGTTCGTGAACTTATAACGAGTCGAGTTTGAGCTTAAAAAAAAGTTTGTGTTGAACTCGAACAATTCTTAACAAGTCGAGCCGAGCTGAGTTTGACTCGAATCATTTCCAACCCTATGAAAAAGGTTAATTATTTGGCAATATATTGTACATTAGCAATATACTATACATGTCTGGTTAGAAAACAAATTGTTCAGTTCATCACCTATATTTACTGATAATTTCAAAACATGTTTACTTTGAATTAACTCTCTTATATAATTTCAAAAAAACTTGGATCATAGAGAGTAGCATGATATACATAGATATTACAACCAAAATTTATTATATTATTAACTAATATCAAACAAAAGTATTTAAAAAGTATATTGAATAAAATAACTAATTTGTCATTCAAAATTCATTTCTGCAACGAAATATCTAAAATATGTTTCGTTCATAATCTTTTAATCAACATAATAAATATATCATAATTTTCAAAGTTAACAAAATAATTGAAGAGATCATACAAATCTACCACTTTTGTATTTTAGAGATTATAAATAAATCAATTAAGTAATATTCTGCAAAAACAAATAAAATATTTGATATTAATTATTAAGCTAAAAAATAGGATCACCTTTTCAAACTCTTCTAAATAATTCTCATTCCACCCAAAGTAAAATGCAATTATTTAGGAATCAAACCTTAAAAATAGGTGAGACATAACAATCTTTTACTAATATACACGTAAAATATAATATACCTTGATTCTAAATATGAAATTTAGATGTCAATAAATTTCTAAAATCATTAGATCAAATTATTTAAATATTAGATCTAAATTTTTTCTAATTTTAAGAAAACCCACCATTTACATTCAATATGAATTATATAAAATTAGTGCATCAAGTTTAATTATTTAACTTGTCAACTCAAAACAAATAGAAACCATACACTAATTCAAATCATATAATTCAAGCAATAGCTATATAAAACGTATCTATGGGGCTCTGATACCAATTGAATG